TTGTCCATAATGTTTTTATTATCAATATTACATCTTCCAGTAAGTAAAAAAATAGAAACAAACCAAACGTTCTTCGACTGCATTACCGTTATATTCTTTTATCTGCATCACAGGCAGCTGATTAACATATTTCTGAGATGAGACGGAAAACTAACATTTACTTGGTAGATCTGCTTTAGCTGCTGTATCACTCTTTGCTACCTGTAGAAAAGCCATGTTACAATTGTTCCACAGTCCTTGCAGGGTTTGCGAGTTCCTCCCCAGGTTGATCAGGGCCAAAGTGTCAATGGTTCGACTTGAACCCCATATTCCATATCGGCTTATTTAGTTTTTTTTTAGCAGGCATAAGAAAGATGTTCAGATCACAGAACAGATGTATGATCTGTTGTTTGATTCCTCTAAACCAGGGGTGCCAAAGAGCTACCATCCTGTAACTTTTAGGCTACGTTCACACTGCAGGCCTTGATGCTTAATTCCGATTTTTTTGTGAAATCTGATTTCTTTGTGTAACCGTTCACCTTTCCAAATATAAGCGAATTGTATGTGAATTCCTGTTTGAACTGCATTCATACAACCTAAGTGTCCTGCATGTGCAGTAGAGGACGCAATGACGTCACAAGCAAGTGTGCTCTGTGTTTACGGAAGTAAACATGGATGGTAGTGCTGGAGAACATCTAGCGATCTTTCCCAACCTTAAAAACTCAATCTTTCCAAGATGGTTAAACATAAATACTGCTCTCCGCATCATCGTCCACCATTGTTGTTGTTTTTCCTGCCACTGCTGTGTAGCAAGAAGCAGAATAGTGACCTTTGTCAGTATTAATGACATTCAGGTCGTATGGGTGCGACCTTGCTGTTCAGACACAGGTCGCATTTGAAAAGATAATATTCATATCAGATTCCGGACCAAATAGCCAAGCGGCCTGGGTTGCATTGGAAAAAATTGGATCTGTCTTGAAAAGAACCAATCCAGGTTGCATATGGGCCAAAGAAATCAAATTTGTGTCACTTCAGGCTGCAGTGTGAACGTGGTCTTAGATGCATCTCTTCTCTAACACGCCTGGATCGAACGGCTCAATCTCCTCATTTAGCTCAGTCAAGGCATGCAAACGAGCCACTCATTTTATTCAGATGTGTTAAAAATGGGGTACATCAAAAAGTTGCAGGATAGTAGCTCTTGAGGACTGGACTTGAGCACCCTTCTTCTAAACAATGTTATTGTGGTGCGATGACTAAAACATTTCCTTTCCCAAATATTAAAGTCTCCAGAACATGCTGAAAAATGTCAGTAAAGCTTCAAAGTGTCTTATTTATTTTATTGACGTTCTCCCAGTCCATTGTAATTTACAAACTGGCTTCACTTTGGAAGGAGAGGCTGCAGTATTTTCTAGTTTATAATAGGTCTGGACCTTGGTGGTTTGTATTATTTCTAAATATCCTTACAAATATTCTGTGGAGATCTGTGGAGGACAGAATAAGTTGGTTGTATAGAAATTCTGTCAATCCTGGTTTTTGAGTGGATAAAGCAGTCAAACATTAACCTCTTATAGGGGATCAAAGCTACAAAAGACTCTGACTTATGGGTAAAAACCAGGTCAGTACAAGGAATGTGGGTAATCTAAATGAACAGAAGGATTTCCACTGATATAAGTGATGGATTATCTATTTGGAAGCTTGTTAATGGGTACAAAAGCACACTGTGAAGCCTGGATCACTGGCTTCACAGTGTGCTTGAAACTGCAGAAACATCAGGGCGGCTGTCTTCACCACATAAGAAATACTTCTTGATCTGAGCGTATTATGCTGTGTGACAAGTTATTTCCTGTCCAACGGGTGAATTGCAGTCATGAAGTAGTACAAGGGAAAACTACCTGCATTTCGTAAGCTGTACCTCAAACATAAGAGCAAAGTGTTTGAAACCAAACACTTTTTTGAAATGAAAGAAAAGATGTTTAACATTAAAATTCATGAACAGCCTTCCCTATGAAAAGACATTAACCTCACTAAAAATGTGTAGATGATGCCCAAAGGAAGATCTATGAGGAGTTAGTTATCAGACTGGAGAGTTATTGATGGCTAGTTACTAAAGGTGAATCTTATCAAAGTCTATGTATATATCTGGCCCTCTTGAGATAAATCACGACCATATTTCAACCAAAGTCTTTTTACCTACAAAGTTGAAATGGCAATAAAATATAATTATAGATATGCTTGGATTAGACAGATTTAATAAATTCAAGCTGATGCACTCAGTCTTCTTTAAAGACTATTTATAGTTAATTAATTACTTGTAATCTTCCAACCTATGAAAAAAAAACAAAAAAACAGTTCAATGCATATTTGAAGACGCTTAATAGTGTTGTAGTCAAGACAACGCCAACCAAGACCTTTAGAGTCCAAGACCTTCTATGAGGGATGTCAAACCAGTTCCAGAAAGGGCCGTGTGGTTGCAGGTTTTCTTTCCAACCAAGAAATAGCACACAAGTCATCACATCAAGTAAGTCCAACCTTAACATGATGGATTTATGAGTTGAATGGAGTCTGGTGCACTACTGCTTGGTTGGAAAGAAAACCTGCAGCCACACGGCCTTTTCTGCAACCAGTTTGACATCCCTGCCTTTTATGGTCTCGGCCTTGTCTCGTTACTGCTTGGTCTCGGTTGGTTTGGTCTAGACTACAACACTAATGTTTAATAGACATAAATATAAAGTCTGATATTCCGTTATCCTCTTACCGAAACGATGTTTGGTGCATAGAAACAGAAAGAATCACTCCCTTATTACAGGTTGTCAGATCTGTTTATAACAGGGACTAAAGTAGCCCAGCGAGGGATAGTGTGTTCATGCACCGCATCCATTATCTTTTGAGCAACATCTGCTGAAAGGAAGTTAATTTAATTCCTTATTCTCCTTTAAAATAAATAAATAAATAAATAAAAATTCTCACCAGAAAATGGGTATCTACTGGGGCCGTATTTGATCAAGTGTGAAAAAAGATTAAAACAAACGAGACATCACAACCTAAATCCCGGCAGGGTAATGTGTCTTTAAAAGTCTAAGTAGAAAGTACAGTATACAACATTAAGCATTAACACCACCTGATATATGGTGTACATTTTAGGATTTCTGTTCAGAGGAATATTCAGTGCAGAGACAAGTCTAATTTTTCAGACATGGAAAAGGTTTAACTAGGGCCTGGAACCTGAAATTATTTTCCTGAAAACTGATCCTTTCTTTCCAAAGATCTAAGAATGCTATAAAATGTACCCTTACAGTACCTCTGCTTACAGCAGCAGTACATAAACAATAACAATAACCTGGTCTTTGTAGAAAAGCTGCAGGTTTTAAAATTATTTCTTTAGAATATCTCTTAAAAAAAATGTTTTTTTTTTTTATTAAAAACAGAAAAGAATCAAACTATCTTATCTGCTGGTAGGATAATTAATAGCCAATATAAAGCAGTTTGAATTATTTTGAGACTGATGCAGCCAACTCAATTTAGAGTAACGATCACAACTATTAGTTATAGTGGTCTAATTAACTTGGTCTGATCTGATACATTTTAAACTACTGCTAGCCTCCATTTAATGCATATTACATCCTTATTATGTTAAACCTAATTTGCTCTATGAGATAAATCATTTCACACTTGCACACTGCTGAACTGAACAGTTTTTAAGCTCTCATTGTGCACAATATTATATATTTGTTGCTTTACTCTTATTAGTATGTAAAAATATGATTATAACAAATTCATTTAAATAAGCTACTTAATGAGGACTATGTGCTTTGGTAATCACCACACAAAGGCGTCATAACAGTAGTTTTATACCAGTGCCATTTCAATTGAATTGATGGATGGAGTCCTTTAGTTTCTTTGTCATGAATGTATTTTCTGATATATTTTTAAATGGCACAATTTGTCTTTTTTGTAATAACTGAAAAATGTAGAAACCACTTTTAGCAAGTTGACCAGTAATGCACAACAAAGGGTCGAGGGAAGGACAGCTCTTTATTATGTTATGCTCCCTAAAGCAGAAGAAAATGTGTTAAATTTGCAATTTCTTTGTTAAATGTGTCATAAAAACCTTTGGCAGCTTAGCAACCAAAGCTTTTAGAAACATTGGCATACCTTAAGAAGCACAGACCTATGTTTAAGCTTGATATAACAATACTTACCAGACGTGATCTTTGCAAAACAACAATAAATAAAGTAAAAGAAAAACCAGCACACAGTAATTTGGAGAACAGATCCTTACCGTATTCTCAGTGAAATTGTAATCCAGGGAGTATTGTAATTTGCCCAATTTCTCTTCCTCCTTCGGCTCGGCTTCTTTCTGCGTTTCCGTCAGCCCTGTCTCTGCATCCTCCTCATCCTTCAAGGCCTGAAGGAGACACCCACCAAGAGTCAGTGAGGCCTGTTTGTAGCGAGGAGCTAGCACCCAGCCAGCTGTTCAACCGCCCAGGTGCTGCCTGCGAAAACCTAGTCCTGTAAAAACCCCACTTGTTTTAAACTGTAAATGGGAAAGGGGGGATGGGAGGAGGATAAGGGGAGCAAGCACTAAAACACGGCAGTTAACATTAGGACATGCTCTGTGATGCACTAAAGCCCCAGGCCTGGTCCCATTTGGTGCTTTTGTACCAGTCTGTGAGTGTTTGAGTCTGATGGGAGGAAAGATCAAATGATGGCACCAGAAATGAGAGCAATGAGGAGACAGAGAGATACTTAAGGAGGACAGAAACAGAGAGAGATGCTTTCAGAAAAAGTAGCAGTTGGACAGTTCCCTTTGATGGTTATTTCAGGCACATAAAGATTTTGGCAAGAAACAAAGAAAACTGGGAAATGTGAGAAGTGGCATTGGAAGAGAGGTGAAAGCGGCCTTTCTTTAGCCTGGCACTGAGGTGATGGTGACAGGTGGTGGTGCCGGTGGGGGGAGGAGAGGTGGGGTGACAGTAAGGAGGGAGGGAGGGAGTTTCCCGTTAGATTAAAAAATAAACATGCGTTTAAAGAGGCAAAGACTAGTTCTCAGTCATTCAGAGTCAAGAGTTGCCTTTCCCAAGTGGCTCTCATCGTTTGGCATGCAGAGCATTCTCTGTCATACAAAACAGTGCTCTTTTGTGATTCCTCATTCCCATGTCTGGTTACAACCTCAGACATACATACATCGTCATCATAGCCCTAAAGCTGTACCCCCTCTATGCTGATGTAGCTAGAAGCATCATGCCAGCGGTGGGTGTGAAGGTGTTGGTAAAAAAGGGGGTTTACTGCACATTGGGGCCTGCTTTTATTAGTTAAATTAATCATGTGAAAGCAGGAGGCTGAACAACACGGACTTGGTTAGGGAGCTGTCTCTGAGTCGGGTCTCTGCTTTCGACAGAAATTCATCCAATTAGAGAGAAAATCATAGCAGGTAAAATGATTGAGGAAAAATCTTTTGGAATGTTGTGATCAGTTTCACCTGAGCTGAAAGAAAAAAAACTAAAAATGCTGCGTTCATTTCATCACCAATTTTAAAACTCTGTGGCAAAATTCTTAAAACAACCAAAAACCATAATGTAATTATATCCTTTATGTGATCGACCAATGATTATGAAGTGGAAGAAAATTAATTCAGGATTTATAGAAACAAAAATCTAAACGAGCAGAACCCAATTATCATCATATGTGTGAGTCAATACATTTGACCCATTATTCTTCACTAAAGCAGTCAGACCGAATATGAAGGAAGGTTATACTGCTAGAGGATTAACCTTCGGCCTACACTGTTAAAACAATCTTGAAATAAGCCATAATTTCTTTAATTTAGCAGGTAGACAAGATAATTTGCCAATGGAATGAGTATTTTTACCCTTATTATGAGATAATAAGATATTATTCACTTGAAAAAAGACAATGCAATTGTTTTCTCTTATTTTAAATGCAAATTGTCCTGTTCCATTGGCAAACTTTGTCACTTACCTCCCTAATTCAAGAAAAAACGCCCTTATTTTAAGAAAATAATGATTCTTTTAGAATAAATTTTTTTGCAGTGTAGTATGAGGTCCTGGGAAGCATGCTTTGTTTTTGTCTGTAAATAGTTAAATCTATTTTCTGCCTCAATTCTGAGCAGGTCTTCTTTTATAGTAAATGATAAGCAGCCCTAAAGCATGATTCAGCCAAAGACATGGTATATGGAGGTGCAATTTTTGTTTTACACACCTCACAGCAGGGCCGCTGGAAGTAGTTTGGACAAAAGACCTATGAGCCTATAGGCCTATCTAAGATACAACGAGGCCAATTTGGCTGGAAGGGCTTGTCTAATTCTGTTACATCAGGTGGGTTTGCGGGTGCTGGGACTAGGCATGCTGGTGCAACTGCCATCAGAAGCGGGCGGACAGTCTCCTCACTCTGGCTGCTCTCTGTTGTCGTGGTTGCGGTACTAGTGTTCTTCTTCACTGGTGGTGGTTTACCAAAAAAAAATCCGAAATGCATTTCTGTGCGATATTTCCTCCTTGTTTCTGTCATTAGACTTTGTACATTTACTAGTCTGCTGCTGCGAGCGGGATACCTCTTTACTCGGTGACCACTAGCTTGCTTGACGTTGCCATGACAGCGTAAGTTCCGTGTACCTGGGTTGATTAGTCCTCAAAATAATTAAATTAAAATCCAAAGACATGTAATAGTTAAATATAAAAAGTCAAAATCTTTGCAAATAAATTTTGCAAAGCATTTTTTATATATTTTAATCCCCCTCTCGCCACTAGGGGTACTACAGCAACCCCAGCACACCCATTTCCTGTGGCCATGCTTCACTGTGTGCATGGGTGCACAAATTCAACATCGAGAGCACCTTTTTCCACATATTTGTTTTGTTAGGAAACCTCTGAACAGCTGACACCATACTAAAGTACCCGATCTTTTAATGCAATCGGTTGCAGGTGATTTAATTTGGGCATATCAGAATATATGGGGCTGAGAACACATTTCGTAATTTATTGGTAAGAAAATGTGAATCTTTTTCCCACCACTTCATAATTAAGCAACATTTTATGTAGATCAATGAAACTGTTTTAAGGCAATGTTGTAATGGAGCCTCTCAACCATTCTACTTATGCCCTGATTTGAATTTTAAATGAAACATTCAAAAAGTCTGAGACTTTGACAGCTTGGCACAAAAAAAAAAGTCTGTGTGGTTCAACCTCGCTCTTACGCACCCAGTGTCTCTTTCATACATATATATGTGCATATGGAGGTTGTACGCACATATATAGAGTAGATAAACATGTACAGTATGCATAGTTACATATATTTGGTTTCTATGGGAGCGGTAGTTGTTGTCAAGAGGCTATTAGAAAATAAAAAAGTCAGAGCAGCAGGCTTAAGAAGATCCAACAGCAATTGGGAACCTACCGCCAGTGACCATCCCGAACAGTCATCAGACACAACACAGATAAGGAGGACATAGAAGGAAGAAACACAAATTAAAACAACCACACACAGGAGTTAACACACTAGAGTCTGGGCACACCAGGAGAAATGACTGATTGCCTCCAAAGAGACAGATTGAAAGATCACATAAAAACACTCTTTTAAAAGAGAGATTACACTATTTATTGTGAATAATTACAGCTTAAAAATCAATCTTTGGCTGTGCAAAGGCAGTGGGGATATCAGGAAGTAATAGAAGTTGTGCCCTATGAGTTAGGAGGCTGTAAAGGCTTTCATTGCAGATTTAAACAGCTATACCAGTTTCAATCATCTTCATTTTAATGTAGATGAACTACAACAAATATTTAAATCATAATTTATCCCCTTTTTTTATTCAATCGTCCTATCAGAGTGTGACTGCCGCAAATATAAATGCAATATGATGCCTCCTCACCAACTGCAGAATTGCGCTGTTTAGGTGGGAGGATTCTGCACATCTACCACCAGTTCCAACCTTACTGTAAAGGAAGAAACACTATATGGCTTGTTTTACCTTATCAACAGGCTAGAAGGTGCAGGTTTGCTGATTTCTCTAGAGCAGTGTTTTTTAACCCTGGTCCTTTAGATAGCCTTGTGAGACCATCCTGATCTCGCAACCTTTCAAGATTTCACTCGCTAATCAGTCTGGAGACTCTCCTGGTGAAGAAAATTTGGAGCCATTCACCAAACAAACGTCCAATCAGCGTTTGAGGCGGGTTGAGGTGTGACGCAACGAGAAGCGCGACAGTTCAGTCTAAAGAACATGGCAGCTTCAGCCGATGAAACTAGCGTTAGCGTGGCTATCGACCAAGTTTTATCGGAATTACACAGTATTTCTTCACTGAAAGAATAGCAAAAGACTGCTCTGGAGGCTTTTATCAGAGGAAAAGATTTTTTTGCTCTTCTCCCGACTGGTTTCGGCAAGAGTTTGATCTATCAATTGGCTCCTCTTCGTCGTCGCTCTGTTACGTCGTATGCTTCGTTGATCTGATTGGTTTATTTGGCCCGTCTATCACCAACATAGCCAATCAGCTAACCAGTATTTTCGCCCCTTCCCAAAATTACTTCAACGGAAGGTTTCCAGATGGATATGCGGAGCAAATCCATCTGGCGGAGTCAGGTTACCTCAAGGCACCTTGCTCTGCATGTTTTGGATGTTTCTGAGGTTCAGCACACCTGATTCAGATGATTGCATTTCAGCAAAGCCTGATATTCTGCTATCAACTGATAACAGGTGTGTGAAAGCTGGGAAACATCTAAAACATGCAGGGCAAGGTGCCTTGAGGACCAGGATTGAAAAACACTGCTCTAGAGTAAGCATCACACCACCTAGAGCAGTGTTTTTCAACCCTGGTCCTCAAGGCACCTTGCCCTGCATGTTTTAGATGTTTCCCAGCTTTCACACACCTGTTAGCAATTTATGGCAGATTATCAGGCTTTGCTGAACTGCAGTCATCTGAATCAGGTGTGCTGAAGCTCAGAAACATCCAAAACATGCAGAGCAGTGTGCCTTGAGGACCAGGATTGAAAAAAACTGACCTAGAGTCATCCTTTGAAATCATCTCAACTTTACACATAGCTCATTACTCATCCTGAAAGGACTCATGCAAAAAAAATTATTGTTTTGTTTATAGTTCTGCTTATAGTTTCTGTTCCTTTAAACCTAGAACTTTCAAGGTTAATTGCCCCCCCAAACTCAAAAGGGGTAACTTCTTACTTCATGCCCCATAGCCTATTCCAGGGGAGCTCACATCCTTCCTCCAACACACCTGCTTTAAATGAATGGCTCCTCAGAAGGCACCTGCAGAGCTAAATTACAAGCAGCTGAGGGAATTCAGCCATTTGAGTCAGCTGTGTTGGAGCAGGGATGTAATTGAAGGTTCTGAGATGGAAGCTCTGGGGAATTTGACACAGCTAGCTTATAGGAACGAACTGTAAAGGGTTACAATTTGGAAGTTGTGGCGCAGTCTATGGTTTGGTGTGAAGGGGGTCGGTTTTCAAAACCCATATTTCAGAAAAACGTTTGCTGCCTTCTTTTCATGTCTCAGAGCCATCTCTGATCGAAGAGCTGTTGTTGCTGCACATTAAACAAAATATCATTTGGGGGTTGACTGAAGATGGCACCTTTAATGAAGCCCTGTAGGGGCAATTCATAGTCTGCTTATCAGAACCTCGCCTTCTGCACTGATGAACAAAAGGAGCTTTGTTCAGTTCCCTTTTTGTGTTTGTTTAAAGTTTGATAATGTCATTTCTCTGGGTGGATACCGCTTCATTACACAGCTTCTCACACTCTTCAACAAGTGAGCAGGTCCACTAATGACAAAAAAAGAACCAGTCACAAGAACCAAAAGCAGGAGATGACAGAGATTAAAATCAGGCCGTCTAAACGACCAAAGCTCTAATGCTTTATCTATATTTATGGATTCATACAACACAAAGTGCAAGAAGCACTGGAACAATCAGGTTTGCAATACAATTGTAATTAAATTCTTGAATGTAGCTTGGGATTATATTACAACTTTGTCATCATTTGCAAAAGAAAACAAGCCAAAATATGCAAACAGAAGTAAACATAAAATATCACAAATTACTTCAGGAGAAATACCTTCAACTTCTTGTTTGTGTTCATATATAAAAAATGTAGTATAACCTTAAATTTTTAAAGGAATAAGTGATAATAACTTTAAATTAGAGATGATAACAGATAAGAGACATTACCTCGGTTTTGGCCCCATCCATGACATCCTTCATGTTGATGGCATTTTTGCCCTTATCTTTCCCCTTCTTTTTGTTTTTCTTTTTGAAAATCCACTTTTTGCAGACGCAAAAGCAGCAGGCCAACACCAGAATGATGGCTACGAAAGCAATCGAGACAATGGCCCAAGATGGCACTGGGGAGAGAGAAAAATAAAATAAGGAAAGAGCTAAAGTTAAATGTCTTTTTGAAAAGTGGAGATTACACACAAACACACACTGAGGTCAAATAAAAGCAGGGAATTGTGTGGATCTTCGCTCTAGCTCTTGCCTGGACCCATCAACAAGTGGAACACCCGAAACGATTGGGAAAAAAAAAAAAACAACTGACACCTTCATCCAATTTAGAGGAAGTAACAGATGTTGGCATTTTCCACTTGCCATTTAAACAAAAGATTTAGTCCGGCTGACGCTTTCAGAGCAATCAGCTTCAGAGCAGTGAGTCAAGGTGGTGGGAGGTTTACAGGTGTGGCTGATGGGCATTAATTCAGGTGTGACCATGACAATCCAATGATGCACTCATCTTAGACAGGGTTTAAAAACCCTTACATCCGTCATATTACAAACAGTTTTTCTATGCAGTTTTACAAACCTTAAATTCAATATTTCACCTCTCCTTTGCAGAGTTATTTTGATTTGTTATTTATGTCATAAATAAGTATGTCACATTATTTATTGGTTTCTATATCAGACAGCTACTCCAAGTAAATACAAAAATCTCTTTTCAAATAATGTTACTTATTAAACAAAGAATGTTGCTGGAATCCTCCAGGCTATTTGTGAAATAAAAGGGATAGGGACAAATATTGAATCTTGTATCATGATGATCCAACTTTCAGCACAGCTAAATTAACCTAGTAAGGCTTAATAACCGCTTTACCTATAGAATAAGTTATGTGTTTATTATATTATATTACTATTGTTAATTTCTTTTCAGCACCGCATCTTTAATGAACGCAAAGCTGTATGCTTAAAATCAGCACAGAAAATATGGAATTGAAGACTTCCATGAGTAAAAGTTCTACAGTAGTAGCTGTTGAAAATTTTCCTACTTTCCTTGATGGCCCCTTGGCTGGTCACTTAAAATTACTTTTTAAACATCAATCTTTGTATTAAATATTCTGTCAGGATTTATGGACATTAAGATCCAAAGAGAAGCGCCATCTCCTGGTCAGACCCTGTAATTCCATGAAAGGGTGGAGTCAGAGTAAAAAAATATGCAGCCCCAAGAGAAGGAGGGGATCATTCCAGTGGTTTGAAGTTGGAGGGGATTTTGCAGGGAGTTGCATGGAAGTGGGCTGCCATTCCGCTGGCGTTTGACTGAGAAGGCCATTTTGAATGTCTGCTACTGTAAATGTTCCTAATTTATTTGTCAATTTTGTTCTTTCTGTCGACATATCTGTAGACTTTTTGACATAAATGATATCCGTAGCTCATCTGTAGAATTGGACTCACTGCAAAAATGTGGAACAATGATTTTAACTAAAAGACATTTTATTGTTTTTAGCTACTATGTTTAGGGTATTTTAGCGCAAATGAAAGTCTCTCTACTCTGTTCCTTATGACACTGGTTTCAATTTCTTGTTGGATGAATATGAGTGAAAAGCTGTAACTCAAATTCAGTCCTTTCTGGGTCAACATTCAAGTTCTACTGGTAACTTCCAACAGTTCCTTTTCACACACTCATTAAGCTCCCCTCTCTGTTTGGCTCCCAAGCTTCTTTAAAATGGGCCATGTCCAGGTAATCTTGCTCAGGTAACGAACAAGGCAGGCTGAAATATTATAGGCTTGCATTTCTTTTGAATCATTGTCAGGTTATGGTGGAGTTCATTTTGTTGTACTTCCCCGTCATGGGGATTCTTATAGCAGCCTGAGTAACATACAGCTTGTAATTTAACTAGTCAAATTGCACATAAAATATGGTTTCATGGGTGTAAAATTTTCCAAAAAATCTTTAGCATCAATCCAGGGAAAGTTTAATTGATTGGAGAGTGCGCAGAGCAGGCAGAAAGGCTGGGATCAGAAATTAGTTTAGATCAGATAAAAAACACCCTCACTCCCAGTCATATTCCTCCTGGCACCATTGTTGGTCATTAACTAATTAAACCTACTCAAGTAATTGAGTTAATATTTCTAAATTAAATCTTAAAAACCATTGAGTACCTAATAGCTATGTTTATTACTAGTTTATTTTTTGTTTTGAAAAAGGTTGAAACTGGTAAATTTGAGCAATTCACAGAAAACCAAAAAAGTATTATCCATTTTCATGCAACCGCCATGCGATTCACTGTTTATTCCTTCTAGCATATGCTGTTGGCCTCTTTCATGGCCCTGACTCCAGAACTGAGACAAGCAGCAGTCAGACCTCTGTCACATAAAATGTCAGAGTCTCAGCTTAACCAACACAATGACAGCCAGATGCAAACACAGTGACACCTATTTCTACGGCAGTCAGCCATCAGCCTGAGCTTCCTGCTTCCTGTTTATATGCAGGAACACAACGTCAACAACACAATAACACGAGGGCTGAAGGAGAACCGAGGGGTTAAAAATAGTCAGACCTCATCAGATGACTTCTTCTAGCAGGTATAGTCACTGCTACTTCTTTCCAACCAGCAGACATCGAATGTAAGATACAAAACTGGAAAAACAAAGATTTTCCCACCCCATAAGTACACAGTTATTTAATCAATGGAACATTGAATGGTGAAAAAGGTGGCACCATATCTTAGGAAGTCCGGGTGGAAAGACATCAGTTCATCCGTTTGTAAGCCAAAGAACAGACATTAGCGAAGTTGATTGAGGGCAGGAGTGTTTTTGGGCAGAAGCTTCATGATCACGTGCTTGTCGATCTCTAAGGCAAACCCCATAGAGAGCCACTGCCCCACAAATCAAGATATCAGTAAAGAAAGGGTTAATTTGAAATGGAAAATAACAATGTCCTAGAGAGGACTGTGTTATGTTTATGAGTTCCTTTCTAATGAAAGTGACCACAGAATAGAGTCAACGAGCAACATATGCACACAAAAACATGCAAAGTACAAAAGAAGGAAGTTAATGGTGTCAGTTTCACTTAACTGTGGTTCCATCCATTATAGCAAGATCCTGAAGCAGGAAAGTAGGCGAAGACCATCAGACTACCACACCACCGTCTTTTACTGTATACAAGATGCTTTAATCTGAAATGGTCCTATTTTTATGACAAAAGCATTGTTTTGCCACACAGTAGTAATTTAAAGCCCCCAACGCACCCCCTTCCATCTTAGTCTGACCAGCATTTTCATGTCATTGCACTGTCACAAGTACTCTGATGTGTGGTGCCCAGGGAGCAATCGGGGGTTAAGGGTCTTTGCTCTGAGAGTCAGAGTGGCAGTGGTTTTTGAACTTACAACCTTAGGGTTCCAAGCCCTATACCTTAACCACTCGGCCGCCATATAAATCCATGCCCCACTTTCCTATTTTCTCACTATTTACTTTACTACTTATTCTGTTTCATAATCATGAATTACTTTCAGGCATTCCATTATATAGAATCTGAAAATAAGATGGTATACCTTTGCAAGAAAGTGTATGAGAAGCAACAAAGCAATGTGAGACAGAACTACCTAATGTAAGGACTCCTGTGTTTGTGTTTCTGTGTTTGTCTCCCTTCATCCACCAGGAGGCGTCTGGCTCTGGTCCGCCTCCTCACACACCTGCTGATGGTTTCCTCGTTAGATGGAGTGCTCTTAAGCTGCTGACTGCCACTACCTCGATGCCAGAGTGTTTTCCAGTTTTGGTTACTCTAGCCAAGCTGAGTTTTGCTGAGTCAAACTGAGTTTTTGTCAACCTGAGTTTAACTTTGTTTTTGTCTTCGCCTCTTGGCAGGCAGTCATCCTGTAAACTGGATTTCTCTGACCTTCTCTCCCTGGAAGGATCAACTGAGCTTCAAACTGAGCTGGGGTTCAAACAGGAGGTTTGGATCCACTTTCCCCAAGAGATCATTTGAGCTTCGCACTGAGAAAGGGATTATTCTCCACTACAACCCGTTCAAGTACCGCATGAAATCTGAGTGGCAGTCAGTTTCTTCGTTCACCAACTAACAACTGCGTTCTGGGTAATCCCTGTTCCGCCCTCCACCGAATCAGACAAACACTGGAACTACAGCACACAGACAGGAGTCAAGGATTCAACTACTTCTTTGGAAACGTGAGTCAGCAACCAAATCCTCTTCTCCAAGCTCACGAGTCAAATTCCCCACTGAGCCTGAACTAACCACTGTGTCTTCCCCTCACTTTTCAGTTCCGGTTGAGCAGTGTGTTCAGAGCAACACTTCTCTCTACTGTTTTACCTCTTCAATAAAACCCGTTAAACCTTTTCCCTGGTCTCCCTGTTCGGTTTTCTGCAATTGGGTCTGAACTTTGTAAAATCATGACATCTAATACCCCCCCTCTCCTTAAATGAAACCTTTAATTTAGGCAGATGTATTTGCTTTGATAAATAAATCAACATGAGCAAAAGCCACAGAAAACGTTTCAAAATCCATCTCTCTGAGAGTGATCCCCCAAAATCCTCCCAAACCCTACAAAACAATGAGCCTGGCTAAAGTTTGGTCGTCTGAAAACTTGATCTCATAAAAACTCCAGAAACACCCTTTAGAATAGAAAGAATAAACTTTACGTCACAGCCGTTCATCCTGGAGCTGTGCTGACTAGCACTTAGCTGTGGTTCTTTTGCTGAGGGACGAGGTGAGAGAGAATAAGAAGAGAAATCGATTCTCTGTTGACAAAATCAATAAGCACTCTCCTCCAAGGAAAAACAGTGAGTGATGCTCTACAATAACTTGAGGATCTACAGCTCCAGCCTTGCCTCGGAGCGTCATGGTAATGGAGGTGACACTGGAAAGACCTCGTTCGGAATCATCCTCCTCAAAGTTTATATGGCATAAACTGCACTGCTCATGTTATCAGATTTATACACCTTGCATGCTCAAACAGAAGCTGTATTTCACAAATTTCTATTGGAGATTTTGTACTGCAGCTGTCACTGGTTCGAGTCCTTAGCTGTGTATCTCCTCCTCTCTCCTAATCACATTTCCGGTCTCTATACATAAAAAAGTCAGAGATTATATTCTTAATGCATGAATATATGTTTCATG